TTGCTTTTAATTGTTCGCAGGTTCAAATTCAATGTTCTTAGCAGCAATTGTTTCTCGTCTATTGAGCCCCTCCCTAAAACGTCATATGGTCTTCCCCTAATTTAAGGCAAGTGTAGATTTGTGGATTTCTTTAGCAATAGTTTCAATTTCACGGGGGCTTTGCCTTTGGTTCTGGCTAAAGCTATACATTAAACATAGATTAACTTAAGGCATAACATAGTAAAACACATCTGAAATGTCTGAAGAAGGGTAAAATTTCTCCTACAACACTAACAATTTTTGATTAATACTTTTTCTGTAAGAATACGAATTTGAAGGATTGTAGTCTCATTCGCTGTTCCCCTTTTGAACCAATTTTTACGTACAAAAAGCCTTGTTCGCCACCCAAATGACAATGATATTATTTCATATGCTTAGATTCATTTGGAGCAGTTAGCTATTAAATTCATAACCTTACAAAGTAAAATGTTGTCATCCTATGCGGACATATTTTTTTACAAGCTCGGGCATGATACTTTTCTCTTTTAGACAGGAATCATGATTGGCTTCAATACCCCGGCTAATTCTCAATAGCCAATCCCTTTTTCTGTTGATTGAAGCTTATTTATAAATATTCGTCAACCAAAACGGCTGTCGTGAAAACTTGTAGTTTCTTCGAGAATATTTCTTACCGGTTCGGTAAATATTAAGTCCTTTACTTTACATTTTCGGCAGGTTCGAAACGCTTAGCAAATTTCTAGAGTTAAAGCAGGAACCTCTAGCATAGAAACCACACAAACACGAAACTTTTTGTGACCTTGCAGTTAAATTGCAAAATAAGACGATTCGGAACTGAAGTATTTTAAGGGGGTCTCCATCAGTCGCTTTCTTCAACTTCCGTCCGACTCACCTTAATAATTTATCCGTGAAAAGAAAATAAATGAGACACACAAGTTCAGTGGAGTAAAGCTGTCTCTTAGTGGACACTACAGGGACATATCCAGGTGTCCACATTAGAGAGTTTTACGTATTATGGAGATTGGAATTGCGGTAAGAAATTTGATATCTTTGCATGGAAAGAACTGTCCATAAAAAGATATGTCTAAATGAGAATTTATAAATGTATTTCTATCAAAAAATCTAGTAAAAAAATCGCGATTTCCTGACAAAAGGTAAACCAACATGGAATCCTCCTGCCAGAAAAAGAGTATTTTGGCCGGGGGGGGGGGGGTAAAGACGCTCAAAATGCGATCAATTTATAATTATTCCGTTATCCTTAAGTTAAAAGCCACCAATAAATAAAAGTCAGTACTATGGTGGAAAAATACATAGTTATTATGTCTAAAGATGTTTTGCCAATAGTTCGTTTAATATAAACAGGTTTCTGTTATACTCAGCAAATCCGTAAAAGGTAAAGAACCAGAAAACCTGAGGTAAAAACCCTTTAAAACGGAAGCCTTTTTTGATCTCGCAGTTAATTCTCAAATAGAAATTTCTGATCCATCCAGAAATATCAAAGGGATCTCTAGCCATCTTAAACATTTTTATTTTTACTTTATTTTTTAACTGTGCCTTGATATTTGTTTTCATCTACTGAACTTCCGCTGTTCGATCAACAGTCAATTTTAAACAACATGGTTCACACACAAGGCGCAGAATTTTTCACAAAGTATGAATGCTATCGAGTACAAACATCTTTTTAAAGAAAAATACACTATTTAAAAGACTGACTGATCAACTAAAAAGAAAATTATTTTACTGTTATGTTATGAGAATTCGAATTGGGACGAGGAGGAAATGAATTCTACTTTGCTTCTCTTATACACTTTGAAATACTTTTTTAACAGTATCTTAAAGATAAAAGTAATTTATCCATGACTTTTTTGCTTGGTGAAGGTATTTAAACTAACAAAATTGTTGATATCAAGTAACTAACCTTGTACAAAGCCTGATTATAGCATTGCTTGCAGGAGGAACTTTCATGACCAAAATCCAAGTTTAAATTAACACCGTTTTATTAAACACCTGCAGGCAAACCCTAAAATTGAGCTCAAATGTCTCTGACTACAATAAAGATTAAATAAGCTCGACGAAAGTTTTTTTTTGATGGTGAACGAAATTTAAATACATAATTATCTTCTCTCCATAGGGGCTTGTCGGGGATAATGAAACAAATAATGCAAATGGACGAAAACAAAGATAAGAACTCAAAATGATAGAAAGCGAACCAGTTGTCTATTTTACAAACATGGCCCAATAATTATTTAAACACGGGAATGTTGGAAGCAAATCAAGGAAGCGGTAAGGGCAAGAATTAAACTCGGAACCTCCGGAATACAAGTCCAGCATTCTAACCACTCGGTCACAGTGTCACCTTCAAATTGCTTCCCTCAAATTGCTGAGCAGGTGAGGCTTGAACGTTTAAATTCAAACGAAGGTAAATATTAGTTTTTTCTATATTGCAAATATTATTACACAAAACTAGCAATGAGTCTTTTAATAAGAGATCGCGAGAATTGCTTAGTCTCTCCTTTTTTTTTTCAAGGAAGTCGGTTGCTAAAAAACGACAGTAAAGTCCTGCTGACTGATTCTTATTTTACAGAAACTGATTTGACTGACAGTTTAACTTTAATTTATAGCAAGTTAGATGGCGGTTGCTATTTTAATTCACCCTTTATCAGTAAATTTTTGGATTATTCAAATTTTGCTCAGCTACTTTCCGAACAGCCAAGTAAGAAACATTTTGTTTTATTTCATTGAGTTATTGCTCGTTCACCCAAGGAAACCTAAATGCTTTTGTTGGAAGCAAAATATATTTCCTCCTAAATATCGTAGTCTGGTAAGGCAAAGGAAGATCCTCTGGAACAAGTTGTGTGTTTTATAGTCTTTAAACATTCGAATTGATATGACACAATGTGTGACATTTGCTACAGCAAAGTGGCATCTTTCATTAGTATTCATGATCATCACAAAATTTAGACGAGAAAATTAGCTCCTATAGCCCAAGAAGAATAAAGCATCAAGAAATTGCTTCCAAATAAAACGTCCTTTTATGACTCCAGTGAAATATAATGTGTGGTAAGCACCAAAGAACACGTATCTTCAAATGTAATGATCACCGTTTAGACGAACTTTTTTTCTATCCTTTTTCAGACCATCAGGCCTCAGAGAAAAATAA